ATGATATATTCCCTCATAAACGACGTAATACGAATATTCCATCTCCACCTTGGTGGGACTCTGAATGTAAAAGAGACGTAAAGAAGCTGAAAAAATATATACACAAAATAGTACAATAGATAATTTTGATAATTTGTCCCTTATTATATCACAAACCCGTAAATTACTTAAGAAAAAAAAGTGAGAGGGTTGGTAATTATTCTGTACGAACCTAACTCCTGATATTTCTCCATCAGTCATATGGAACAATATACGTAGGTTCAGGGCAGCATTTAAAGAACCCGTTCCTCATTTTATTGATAAAGAAGTAACAGAGAAATTCTCAGATAAGATATCTCCATCTTTCGCCTCACAACAATTCACTCCGCTATATAAATCATTAGAGAACATAACAAATAATTTAACTGGCCTCAATGCTCCCTTTAGCCTTAATGAAATAAAATGTGTTTTATCCTATGTAAAAGATTCAGCCCCTGGTTGTGATGGGATCCCCTACTCATTTTTAGTCCATTTAAGTGATGCAAGCCTTAATTATCTATTACAACTTATTAATTACATTTTGATTTCTGATAGTATTCCTCTTTCGTGGAGAACTCAGGAAGTAATTCCTATATTAAAACCGGGTAAGTCTTCATTGGACCACAATTCATATAGACCAATAGCTTTGTCTTCAGTAATTTCAAAATTAGCCGAACATTTAGTGAAGAATAGGTTAGAATAGTTTGTTGAAAGTAAAGGTTTGTTGGCATCTAGTCAATATGGCTTCAGGAAAGGTAAAAGTACCATGGATAGTTTAGGTATATTCACTACAGATATCAGGTTAGCATTTTCCAATAATCAATCTGTCCTTGCTACGTTTCTGGATATATCTGCTGCATATGATAATGTAGATCCATATCTTAAGAAAGAAATTGGTAAAATTAGAGGTTCCTCTAATTTTATTATTAATTTTCTCTCAGAAAGAATGATAATAATTAAAAATGGTGATAATTTCAATAGTAAATCTAGATTATCATGGAAAGGACTTCCGCAAGGCTCGGTCCTGAGCCCTTTGCTTTACAATATTTACACGTTTGATTTGGAATCTTCTTTCGCAGACTGTGCAAATGTATTACAGTACGCAGACGATTTAGTTTTGTATACATCTGGACGTTCTATTGTCGAACTGAGTAACTCTCTAAATAATGCATTAAAACATTTAAAGTCATGGTTAGATGAAAATGGTTTAAGCCTTTCTGTTTCGAAAAGTAGTACTGTCCTTTTTACAAGGTTCCCTTCTCCTAATTATCCGATTTCCGAAGGGAAATGGGATAGAGGTCCATTTCCCTTCATTCCTCAAGGCTGATCCAATAAAAGCTGTCGGCTATTCCGGAGAGAGGGAGATGATCCGGTAGATTTATCAAGCCTCTCCTGTGCTAGAACCTGCGCAGTCGAGCGCCGTGAAGGAGTCCTGGAAGTTTGAGTGGACCAACGTCACTAAATGGGGATAATTTCAAACAAACGAGAGCTCCTCTGGGTAGCGGAAAATGAGTATCTCGTAACTCCTAAAGTATCCTGTAGCTTCAAGCTTCTTCAAGTATCTTATAACTCTTGTAGTATTATGTAGCTGAAATCTTTGCAGAAGGACTGAGATAAGCTTCTTTAAGTATCTCGTAACTCATGAAGTATCCTGTAGCTTGACCCGGCGCGAAAGGACCAGGAACTGTTGATGATGGACTGTACTTCTACAGAGATGTGGTTAAAAAAGATGCTGGTTCCGAGCGGGGTCTTTGAAATTAAACACTTCTTCAATAGGAGAACTGTGACAACCGTGAGTCCGTGTGACCGTGTGTATGTTTATTGCACATAAATCCATTTCTTATTTACAATTTTCATTGCCGAACTAAGATAATATTTTAAAACAGATAGTCTAATAAGATTTATTGGAGTAGGGGAGTACGCTACCCCGCACCACACGGGAGGGGAAGGTTGCTTCGATTTTCTGTTGGCGGCGCTGTCATCGCAGCGTTGCTCGGTGTCCTCTACAGTACAGGAATGACAAAGGGAAACTGAACGGAACGGCATAGGAGTTCGTCATCATCGTTATCGCACAAACAAACCCAAGGGAAGGCTCTCGACACGGCCTCCAGACAGGACTACAGAAATATCAAATAGAGGCGTCTTCCAAACGAACTCGGTTAATGCCAGGACCAAATCATGGATGGGACTGCTTATTGCTGATGGTTGATTCAAGAAAACGATCGATTGCGTCTTCATGCGCGTATACAAATGTCACTGTGTTATTTATACAGGTGACCTAAAGGTTTATATTACCTCGAATACCAGGTTTATTTCAAGAGGGACGGCGGAAGAGATCAAGACAAATATCGAGAAAGCGATCCGTAGGGTCGTTTGCAGCAAAGATCGTTCGGCTATTACAAAAAATGAACTCTGCTTCAGAAAGATGGCAGACCAAAAACATCAATCAACAACCAAACTTGAATAGTACATTTATTGTTGTGTTGGCGCCGGTTTGTTTTATAACTTTCCATATATATAAAACTCAGAAACAAAAGGGGTATCTACGTCAACACCTCGTCGCTTGGCAGATCTATCGAGGTTTCATCTACAAGATCGCCACCAGCATTAGAAGTTACATCTAATTTATTTGTCACTGACGTCTCCGATACCAATGAGTGACATCGGGGAGTAGTTAGTTTCGGTGACGGTTTATGATCTGCGATCACCGAAGCTAAGCTGAAGATTTACAGAAGCAGATTATTCCATCCAAAAGCCGTGGATCGCAAGTGTTAGAATACGAGGAAGTAAATCCATACGAACTACAAGAGCGACAAACATGTGCTATGTAAATCCGCAGAAAAACAACATCTGACTTTATATTTTCGAATATGTTAATAATTAAATGACACACAATATCATCAAAAAGATGAATCATATTATTGTTTACTTCACTTCTTGACAATATTCAGTTTTACTGAAATAACAAGATTTTTCAACTGACCTGAATGCAATGGATGATGACATGCTGTCAGTAGTCAAGATGTGGAAGAATGCACAATGAATTAATCAACCACTGGACCAATTTGGGAACGTATTATTTCAGCTACATATAGTATAGTTGTTCATATCTAATCACTTATAACTTGATTTCTTTATACATGCATTTATTATTTGTAACTCAAGGCACGATAGCTCAACTATAATTAAAAAGGTATATGTATATGCTCTCTCTTTTCTACTCGATAATGTTCAACCCCATGATTCCTTCCTATCTTAAAACCCGATTTCAATTTCTCTCATCTTTTCATGATCTCTCTCTTCGCCCCTCTAATAATTATCACTTTTATACACCTCCTAATCTGACTAAATTCTATAGCAATTCAGTAACATTACAGGCCACCAAACTCTGGCACTCTTTACCAGAGTCAATCCAACAGGCAGTCGTTAGATTAATCTGCCTTTCCTGTTTTTCTCTCTTTTTCTTTTTTTCTCTTTTCTCCGCCACTTGTCGCACTTTGTTTGTCGCTATAATGCTTTCACGTTTTGTACTACTTTGTGTTTCGTATGCATATCTGCTGATAATTTAATTGTACGCATATAAATTTCCGTAGATTGCTAGGTTGCCACGCAGAAATCGCTATCCAGCGATAAGGCCGCATAATGTGCTATGTTTGTATAAGATTTATGTGTATTTGTCCGTTTTCTATTGTGCAATAAATAATATTTAATATTATTATTATTATCTACTTGAGTGGTTATTAATTTTTTATTTAGGATGATGAGAATATAGCTGATATATAGCGTATATCTCTAACCTATACAGAATGAATATTATTCTTAGGTACAATCTTCGTTCGACAGAAACATTACGCATATTCTCGTAATTGTAAAATGAATAAAATTAATGTCACGAATGCAAAGTCAGATTGGTAGATTGTTGTGAATATTCTGGCAACACCTTTTACCTCGCCCACGGGCTTTCTTTGTCATTGTCAACTAGACAGCGTTTTCAGGAATGCGTTGTGGTCTAAAAGTATATGTATCGTTCTTCTTTTTTATCGACAATGACTTGTCTTCTTCGCAAAAAAAAAAATAATATTTTGCTTATAAATACGAAATTACTTAATTTTTTTATAAAAAAATGCACTAGACAATGCAATAATTTTAATATCCTCAAAATTAGATTTTATTCATAATTATTTTTTACAAAATCAGTGTGACATAGTATACAAAAAGCGTGACGGAGGTGTTATACATACTAATAAAGTGTGTCCCTCTATGACTAGTAATGTAAACAAAGTGCTCTCGTAAAAAAAACACATTTAAAAGTTTCTATCCAGGAACATTTACTGAACTACTTAACCTTTTTTATTACATTAATAAGAAGAAATCATTTTTAATGTTTATATTATTAAATAAAAAATATTTTATTGGCTGTCCCCCGATGTATATGATTTTAGTTGGTACCTTCTGTCACTCATTTTATGGTACAAAATAGTGTGCGTTAGAAACTTTGACCTTTGTCACTAGGTTCGAGAATAGTCCCCCTCCACCCCGCACTCACGATATACGTTCCCGCGAACCAGCAATACCAGTCATTCGCCCGCAAACAGTAAAAGGAGGTGCGTGTGTTTATTCAGCGACCGCTCTGTCACGTAAGTTGCGACTTCCAAATGTTATTCTAATTACCGGGTTTTAATATTAACTGATTAATTTATGATAAATATTTCATATATACACAGTTTTTTGCGTAAATTATAATTAGGAAAATGCTGAATATCTCGAACACTACTATTTTACACCTCTGTCACGTAGCACCTCTGTCACGAAAATGTGTGACGGAGTGGTATAACTCGTGACAGAGTGGTCATTTTTGTATGGAACTTAGAACCTTTGTTAATATCCATAATAGATGATTGCTTGTTTTTTTTTTATGTTGGTTATCCTATCGTCAACTATTTTGTTAATTTAAGGTATTACCGTCAATTAAATGAAAAAAAATGGCATTATCTGCGGCTGAAAGACAGCGACGGTGTCGTGAAAAAAGAAAGCTTAACCCTGAACATGTTGCAGAAGTAAAACGTAAAGATTTAGAAAGATATCATGCTCGCAAAAAGTTAGTTAAGGATATGACACCAAAAGAACATAAAAAAACAAAAAGACAATGGCAGATTAGAAATAAAAAGAGAAGAGAAAGACAGAAAACTTTGCAGAACGTTTTGATGAATACTCCGACTTCTACACCGCCTCCTTCAAGTCCCAGACTACTTCCGTTAAGTCCCAGATCTCGTTCATTGACTCCAGTCTCGTCTGTTGCCAGTAGCAGGGGAAGAAAACAAGTGCGGCGAGATAGATCACGCCTTTATAGACAAAATATTCAACTTCAAAACCAAACACAAGAATTACTAAGAAAAGTGCAGAAATACAAGAAAAGACTTCAGCGACTGAAAAAGAAACGAAATAAAATGCTAACAACAACAATTTATAGTAAAAAAGAAAATGAACAAGGCAAAGAAGAATACAGAAAATATACTATCTTATCAAATACTATTAAGAAACATTACAAGAACACAAAAGACCACAAAACAAAACGCTATATCAAAAGTATACTTGAAGACCCAGCAATTCAACGTTCCGGACAAAAACTTCAACTGGCAATGGAGACCATTGGAATCAGGAGAGTGACAAAGTATAGTTCCATCTTGCCAAGAAATACTACATTAAAACAAAAAATTCATGATTTTTATCTCAGGGATGATGTGTCACGGGCCACTGCTGGAAAAAAAGAGACAGTCACTTATCGAAAAAGGAAGATGCAGAAAAGAATTTTGTTGGATACTAAGAAAAATCTCTATAAGTCATTTCTAAAAGAGGACCCCAACGTTAAATGTCACTACAGTTATTTTGCAAAATTTAAGCCGTTTTATGTCTTACCACCTTCAGTTGACAGCCGAGAAACCTGTATGTGCAAGGTACACGCAAACATTGCATTCATGAGAGTTATTTTGCATAAAAATAAAGTTATGAAGACAAATGACATGAACCAGATAATCTTACAAACTGTATGCGATATAAATTCATTACCATGTATGAAAGGGAAATGCGAAAAATGTAAAGCAAAAAGGCTCAATTATGATACAGCCACGATCGCCAAAGAAAAAGTTTTGGAATTACCACAATGGGTCAGAATCACAGATATTATCGAGAAAGATGGAAGAAAAGTTAAAATCAGCAAGAACATAAAACAAATACAAAAAAATCACTGTTGAAGATTTGATTAAAAAATTTGAAGATGAGTTAAAAGATTTTAAATCCCACATATTTAATATTAAAAATAAATATAAATCATACCGACAATGTATAGATGGATTGACAGAAACCGAAATTGCTTTACATATTGATTTTAGCGAGAACTATGCCTGTAAGTACCATGAAGAAATCCAGTCAGTGCATTTTGGAGGATCTCGAAACCAAGTAACTTTACATACAGCAGTATTATATCACTTGACTTTTAATAAGGATAAAAATATAACTTCCTTTTGTACTGTGTCTTCTGATCTTCAACATGGCCCTGCCGCTATATGGGCTCACCTCCATCCAATTCTCGATTACGTTCAAAAGGAACTGTCTCATATTAAGACGATCCACATTTTTTCAGACGGGCCAGCGACGCAATATAAACAAAAAAATAATTTTTATCTCATTGCCACGAGATTTTTTGAAGAATACAGATTTGATGACTTGACATGGAATTTTTTTGAATCTGGCCACGGCAAGGGTGCGGCTGACGGCATAGGGGGGTCTATTAAACGTTTAGCTGATCATATTGTCGCCAGCGGACACGATATTGTTGACGCATCACAATTCTTCGATGCAGTCAACAATCACAGTAAGATAAAGGTCTTTTTTGTCGGTAAGGACAATATCGCACAGATTTTGGTGACAATCCCACAAGGAATTCCTCCGTTAAAAGGAACTATGCAAGTTCATCAATTGCTTGCTCAGCAGCCTGGAATGTTGAGCTACCGAATGTTAAGTTGTTTTTGCGGAAAATTTTGTGATTGTTACAATTTAAAGACTTACTGCCCATTGCCGAAACGTGAGGCAGAAGTTGACATTTCAACCTCGGATAGAGAAGAACCACTGACTGATATAACTAATATAATTGGTTCTAATGAGGGATTTTATAAGACTGTGTATACCTCTACTTCAGAAGATGAAGATGACCAGCCTCTTCTTAGTTTGAGAAAATCTGTAGATTTAAAACCAGGTACATCACACGATCTACTAGAGGATAAGATCCATCCGTCATTAATAAAAAATGGAACACATATTTTAGTCAAAGTACTAAGTGAAAGAAAAATTGAGTACACTTACTTAGGAGTAGCAAAAAGTGGAGTGGATGAAGATAGAGATGTTCGAGTGATGTTTTATAAATCTGTTGATGATACTGGAAAAATGTTTAAATTGGTAGAGACTGATGTGTTAGATGTGATGTATGAAAATTTGTTAGAAATTATTCCACCTCCTAAGCTAATTAAAAGAGGAAAACGCGTGTTTTACGAATACAATCAACCAATAGAAGTTTTTGAAAAATAGAGTTAGTGATAAGATATTGTAAGACTAAATTAATATCTACCAAAGAATGGACACCAATCATCAAGACTTGTAGTAACATTTTAAGTATATTCTATGTTTGTTATTGTTTTCTAAAATTAAAAATTATTATTAGGTTAGTTTTGTTCGGCGGACGTTAACATTGTTTACCGCTCCGTCACTTCGTTAACCACTCTGTCACAATTTTGTCCCCCTTAAAATTTTAGTTCAAAGTAAGTTATGAACCACTTTATTGTTAGTATTTACAAAAGTAACGTTTTCTAGTATTATATGCTAAACAATAAAGGTGTTCACTAGATTTTTAAGCGACTTTATTGGGCGACTTTCATAATATTAAAAAGTTTGACACGTTCTTTTCTTATTAAGTGATAAAGAAAAAAAAAGAACGGTATAAAAAAATATTTTTTTACGATAAGTAAAATCGAGGACAAGGTCCCTAGGGTCGTGGGTAGGTTTCTTAGAGGTCTGATGGTAGATCACTCGATAGAACTTCCCTGTACTCCTGTGAATTCTACGGTGCGCCGGGCTTCAATTTCTGGTTTCCATAAGGCACTTCTCCAATTCTCAAATATCAATTCCCAGTATAAGTAAAGTTGGCGTGATTTTCTTAATCCGTACGGAGTTCCTGAAGAAGTCACAATAATGCCACATTATTACCCGGAAAGAGAAGTCGGGTACTGCCACTAGCGTTGGTCGTTAAAATTAGCAATTAAATCGTAGAATCTAGCAAAGCTAGTTAGTACAGGAGTGAAGAGAGTATTCTTAATTAATCTGGGTCGAAGTGGCAGTTATAAATAAAAAAGCAGTAACGGTTACATAAACTGATGGCATTTAAATGAAATAAAAAAAAACATGGAACGTAGGTAGCAATATAAAATATATATCAATAATGACTTTTATTATTGATCATGAAATATTACGGTGATTCTTGTTAAACTTAAGTAAATTAATTAAGCAAAAGCTGCATACTTAGAAATGTAAAATAAGTAACTACAATAATTCAAACGTTTCTACTCATTAAATAATTGGTTAAATGCACAACTTACCCAGTACGGGATTATATTTTTTCACTACACTTCTAAGTGTTTCTTATATTTATTTAAACTTTTTTTTATATATTTATTTAAAATAAGAATCGTCAGTCGAAGACTTAGTAAAAATCGAACAGACTTTATATTTTGAAAAGCGTTACACAGCTGTTTTCAAACAAGATTCATTTGTAAGTGTGGCTCGCAACAGGCACGAGCGGCTGGCCGCCGCCGGCCGCCGCGCGGTCGACTTGTTATCGTTTTTTATGCTACCCGCGCCCGCGCCAACATCGCTGTATATATATATTACATCTGCGTGCGATCTGTTTGTTTGTAAATATTTAATTTGTATATAGTTAGGTTTTAAGTAATTTTTTTAACGTATAATTATTTATTCTTTAGTAGTTATTAAGTTTTCATTAACAATTAACAAAGTTTTAAGATTATTATTTATTTTAATTTATTTGCAGTTTGTAAATAATGACAAACAATTTATAATTAATACGGAGACACGTAAACATTAATTTACTGTTTTATCATTAAATAGAACAACGTTACAAGTTTTATGTCTTATGAAGCAAAAATGTGACGGAGTGGTATTGGATAATTTAAAAAAATGATTATTTAAAAAATTCCGTCCTATGGAGCTAGATGATAATAAATGTTTATGTTCTTGATAAGAAAGTAATAAGAAACTGAAGTTCTGATTTAAAATGAGACATAAAAAAAATAAATACTTTTGTGACTGAGGTGTTATTTTTTTCATACCATTCCTACGAAATTTGAAATGAAACGAAAATTACACGTAATACTTCGCTGCATTATATGTTTTTGTAATCTACAATAATGAGGCAATAATTTAAATCAAATTTCACTAAATAAATCACAAGTTTATTTTTGTATCAAATATAAAAATTTACTAGTCAGATTGTCGATAAAAAAGAAGAACGTCCCATATACTGAAAAAGTCATACAAGGCCTGATAACGAGGAAAATGTTGAATTGAGCTGTGTATCAGTAAGTATGTTAACATTTTATGTTTAACCTATTTCGATATGTAAAATCGTGCATAGTTTTTCTATGCTTTATGTGTTGTGTGTAATCAGTATTAAATCAGTGACCGTTGATAGCGACGTTTGATAAGTTTACATATCTGCGGGTATATCAGATCATCATTAACGGGCAGAGTAATGATGATGTGTAGCATCATCAGGTGGACTGATGGTCAGAACAGGGTGTAAACTCAGGCGATGCATGGGGTGACTGTAGAGGAGGTCAGAGGTCACTAAAGGGAACAGCCCCGTTATCAGTTACATCAGTGCTAGCAGATTTTAATGGTTCGCGAGTCGTAATCAGCGCTAAAGACTAGCGACAATAATGTGTGAATTAACTCAGATACTCTTGTTAGTCTATTACCTATCAAAGCACTTGGCTACAATTATACTGCTATCAGGAATTATACTTATAAAAATAGAACATTGACGTTTAAAGTTTTAGCTGAGGGTCTGATAACAATTTCATTGACTTGTGATAATGAATGAAAGTGTCACATTATACCTACATATATTTGCGATTATATGACTTTAAGTTTGATCATAATCTGACAGTGATTGATAGATTGCCATCACTGTTAATGAAGTTGATAACTAATACTTGTTCCTTTGTCCGTCAGGTATTGAAGAATGTGAACCTATTTTTTATTTTTTGCGTAATCAATAAATTACGGCTATACATTGAGTTGAAATTTCGCATGACGTCACGCTTTTGTACATTTTCTATAAAACTTACGTAGCGAGCCACCACTGCTCAACTTTATTGCCTATTATCGTTGTATTATATTTCCCGACGTTTCGATCGGGTTGCACCGGCCGGCCGTGAACACGGTTTGACTGTTGCTACGACGCTTCGTCTCGTCCTTTAAAGTGGTATCCATTTCCAACCATCCAGTATTTTCCTCAGGTACCGCCTCATACAACACTAACAGAATCCCTATTCTGTATCGCAGCCGTATTATGGTAGTCCGGCCACCGCGAAAAGTTTTTTATCACTGGATTCCAAGTTGTTGACAATTTAAAGCCATCCTCACGATTGAAATTAATTTCAATTTCAATCGCCTCACGTACAATCCGCGAATAGAAATGGCGAAAGTACCCGTGTACGATGGAATTCAATCCAGTGGTTAGTGTCACTTTCTAATAGATGTTCTGCGATCGCCGATTTGTTTATCAGACGGTTTTTTACAGCTGTGATGTGTTCGATGATGTCATTTCGCTAATTAAGGCGAGAAAAAAAACCGTTGCTATTTTCCGTGAGCTGAAAAGTCTTCTTGTAAGCAGTAACTTCGTCTATCATACAATACAGCCATACAAAGAGGCAAGTTCTCTGCAAGATCGCCAAAGGAGTGGACGGCCACGCTCTGTGAGCCTGCGAACATCAAAATCATCGAAGAGCTACTTCGCCGGAATCCATGTCGAACTCAGAAGAAAGTCGCTCTGTAGACTAATATTTTGCGCGTTTCAGTGAACAGAATACTACTGAAATATGATTTTAAGGTAAAGGTCTATAGCCGTAGAAAAGTTCACTTTTTAAACGATCGTCTTCGTAAGTTACTACGCGAACGTTGTCCATTGCTGCTGAGGAAAAATGATGCCAGGAAGATACTATTCACCGACGAGAAAATTTTTACTGTCGAAGAAAACTTCAACCGACAAAACAATAAAGTGTGCGCTAAAAGTGGCAAGGATGTCCCAGCTTCTGCACGGAATGTCTCGGACACTCATCATCCGGCTAGTGATGGTATGGTGGGGAGTTTCGTATGAAGATGTCACTCCGCTCCATTTCTGCCAACAAGGTGTCAAGGTGAAAGCCAAGAATTATCAGTGCGACATTTTTGAGGAACATGGTTGAAGAAGAATGTAGGGCCTTCATCGCAGAACGCGCTGGATTATTCTTTATGAACTGAATTAGAGCTCAGGGTCTGCCGAAAGTCTCACTCAAACTTAGAGTCCCTGAAGCGAACCCTTGTTCGAGAAGCAAAGCAAGTTCCGCTAGAAGGGATTCGTGCCGTCATTGATGACTGGCTAACCCCCGATTTCAATAATATACCGACAACCATTGGTAGCGGCTACAGACCGTTTTTTCAGCTACCGACAACCATTTGTTTTTGCGTTTCACAATCATCGGTAGGCACCTACCAACTACAAACGGTTGTCGGTAGCTCATTTGTTAAAATTGTAATCATATAATTCGAGGAAAAGGGATCTTTCCATACAGCCTTGTCTTAGGTAATATTATGATTATACTGAAATGTTGGTCTTTAACATTTAATAATTTCTTGGGCAAAATCGATATCGTAAGAAGGAAGACGGAGACATCAATAGGAAAGAGGTGAACTGATTACGTACCGAAACTAAATTTGAAATTTGTTTTGGAATTATTATGACTTATTTATTGTATGGTTAGGTTCCTAAAAGTGGTGTTATTGTGAAACAAATTATTCTGATGTAAACAAAAGAGTTACCATTCAAACAAATAGTTTAGATTTATCACTTTAAAAGTTTTTAGTATTTTTTTTACTTGAACTAAAAATATTTTTTTTTAGATAAATATAGGAGAGAAATATTTTATGCTGCAGGCAAGAACCAGCGATTCGGAACATTTGGCTCATTGAATTAAACTTTTTTATTTAGTATGATTTATCGTAAAAATATTTATAAATAACACGTTTTCCCTTGTTCATTAAAAGTAAGTTTTTTATTAAAAAAAAAAATATTACAGAAGTGCTTAATGTGTTTTGTGGTTCCAATTAGAAGAATTTGAGTTGTAATCATGTCAATATTTGTACCTTTAAGGGCTCATACTACCAATTAATTATTGGTCCAGATGTTTTCTACAGTATGTTTCTGTTGAAAAACTTAATGATTTACCTCGATATAATTATGAAAAACCTGGTTTCGATGAAACTGAATTTTCCATCTACTGTACAAGTATTTAATCCGATATTGATTTATAATTC